AATGTTGAAGTTAAACAAAGCTTGCAAAGTTGTAAGCTTTCTTTCTCTCTGCTTGTTTTTGTTGGGATTTCAGGGTTGTCAATGTGGGGAAGTACGTGATTAAATAGCTGTAATAGTTTCCTGTGTGAACACTACTTCACACTTGGAAAGCATTTGTGTGATTTAACTTAGCCTGTTTCAGAAATCTTATAAAAAGAGCTGGTTTGGTTACCTGTTCTGTTTTAAATTCACGTCCTTTCTTCCTTATTTCACAACAGTTTTTCCAATTAGTGTGTGAGCCCTTAGTCTCGCATTGTCAGCATCCAGGCTTACTTTTGTTACAGATATTTGTAACTATGATTGTATGTATAAGAAGATTCTATGTGTACAAAATTTCTAGTGTATTTTGTTTCACTGAGCTTTTCTAGATAGCTGCCTTATTTATTTCAGCAGAGAGAGTTAGAATAGAGGGAGGGGTTCACTTACTGTATTTTAGTTTTGTAAATAATTAGTAAGTTCTTGCGGTAAATCAGCTATTAGAGTTGCTGTCCTCCTTCATGAGTGAAAGAGGAGAAGATCCCACCGTCTTTATTCAGAACTGTAGTGGCTAGAGTACTCTCCTGGGAAATCCCAAGTCCTTTATTAGATCTAGCCCAAAGCTGATCAGATAATAATCACTTTTCAGAAAACTCTGTTGATTTCTTCTGCCTTCCTTTCATTTTAATTCTTATTAGCTGAGTCACTCCTCAGTCTTTCCTTTATTTAGTCTGTGGTTGGACTTATAGATACTTTTTAGTGCTAAGTTAATGTTATTAATGATGATTTCATATGTTTATTCATCTCCCCTTGTACGATGACTCTCTTCAACAGACTTTATTGACCTCTTGAAGCAGTCACCCCAAAACTGTATCTTTTTGTTAATACTTAAACTAAAGGTACATCTTAGAACAAAGACAAAGTGAAGGTTGTAGGAAAAATCATAATGTAACGTGTTCTGAACCATGTGGAATTTATTAGTTTAGCATCCCTAACATTGTTCATACCTCATGTCTGGAGGTGTAGCATTTGACTGTGAATAATAGAGTGGTAAAAATGAAAGAGCTCTTGTGCAGAGAAAGGAGATGAGGATAGAAAGTGAAGACATAAATCAGTACTAATATATTTTGTCTGACAGCCTTCAGTTGTAGGCTGCATTCTCCTCTTCTGGGAATTTCCAGACATTTTCACCGTGCTTCTTCAAAGCCCTGTGTATCTCCAAAGGTGTTGAAAGGTGACTGCGTGCAGTTAGCAGCTTGAGGTCCCCTTGTGTTGCACTGTATGCTGCGCTCTTCCTTGAGCAACGCCTGCAGGAAACAAAGGTCCACAAAAAAGCCATTGATATGGAAATCTCACATAATGCCTTTAAGTGAGATGAGGCGTATCTATTCTTTAAGGGTGTTTGGGGGAAAAAAACCCTAATCAAGGAACATTTTGAGTGGATGAATTGTTCAAAGTGAAGAAGAACTTATATGTTTTTTATAGTGAGACTATTGATATTACTTCTTAAATATTAAAAAACCCTTTCTTAATAGGGACTCACAAATTATGATATAGTTCTGTTGTCACCTGATGAAAAATGAAGTTTATTTGTTAAAAGAGAGACTATAACTTTTCTTTCCTACACAGAAGCCATGCAGCTTTAACCTGTACTGGAGAAATTTGTATAATTCTGTTTTTTCATATATCATTGAGAGGTAGAGTTAACTTAAAATCTTTCCTTCTAGCTGAGAGTTAAGGGTCCTATATGTTGTTGAATTAGTCAAGTAGAATTTATATGGATAGTTTCAGGGGACATTTTCATTTTTCACTAAAAACTATTTGGATTTATATTTTAAAAAGCAACTCTTTTGCTGAAATTCATCAGCCATTTCTAACTAGAAGTTGACGAAACATCCTCTACACCAGTTCTTCTGGTTATGCAGTGATATGGCTGGATATCACATATGACTTATGGAACATTGTATCTGACTCATTTGGCTGAATCAGATTTTCTAACAAAAGCGTTATATCTGCAAAATTCTCCCCCACAACTGGTAGAAACTTCTGAGTATTGCTGTTTGAATTTCATGCATTTTGTTAGCTGAATCTCTTACCAACCTTCCTTTTGTTTAGTCTTGGGCATACTTTCAGCACTATGTTAATTTCTATTCCTAAGGACTCCAGCACAATACCTGCCTGTATTATATCTCTTTCTCAAAAAATACATGGAAACCTTCAGGCTCGAGTACCCCCTTCCTCTCTTCTGCTACTTGTGGAGTGTGCTGCGCTCAGCAGTTACGGTGGAAGAGTGTGAGAAGGCAGGCTTTCCTCAGACAGAACTATATGTTATTAGGTCTCAGACCATCCATTACTTCTTGGGTATTCCTGAACTGGTGGGCTCCCAGTCAGTATTGCCTTTCCTGGACAACACGATGCCTGTGATTTCTCAGCAAATCTAAAAGCACTTGCAACACTTTCCTAACTTAAGGTAAAAGCAAGGTGAGATTATTCTAGTACAGATGAAAAGCTTAATAGAGACAATCATCTTTTGGAGAGACATAGAAGCAGAAGTAGAGCTATAATTTATAGCTGCCTTTATGTTAGTGTAGCTCCAAGAGGTTCTCCCTCTCTGCTTCATCTAACTGAAAAAGCTGCCAGGAGACTTCATGCAGTGGGGATCCAGTCCTAAGATTATACCCTTGCAGGTTAGATACCTGCACTGGAGGGGATCTGTCACTGAGGAGAGAGTTTTGTCTGCAGAACCCTCTTGCTACTTGGCATTAATTTTCACAACTCAAATCCCTTCTGAGATTTTCCTGCTGTACATAGGTTCATGCTTAACCAGGTCTCCAGACTTTTCTGAGGGTTATTCACTGTTGCATTCTGTGTGGCTTTGAACATTTTTACCTCCAGTGCTGTCACTTGTCCAGACAATAGACAAAACTCTTTGCTGGATCTAAATACAAAACCTGACAGCTGGTGCGATGTTTTATTTGACCATAAACAAATCACTTAACCAGCAGTCTGAACAGAATTTTTTGTTCAGATAGCTGTGGGGAAGGTTTTTCTCAGCACGAAACCCTTAAAAATGTAGATACCGAGAGCTGCGCTTCATAGAAGAAAGAATGCTGTACACCTTGCAATTATACAAGAGAGACTAATGAATGCAGCTCATAAATAGCCCCTCATAGAGGTGACTATTGCAGTAACTGAAGAAAGATTGAGGGAGACGGCAGGAGTGATGCTGCAGCCTGAGTTAGTTGGTTAGGGTAGGGGTTATAGCAGTGATAGTCTATTTCCCTTCTCTTAAAACAAGAACCCCCAAACCCTAAATAAACAAAACCAAATAAACTACCCGCTTTCTTTTCTTTGTCCTTACTCACAAATATATATTCTTCTATGTAGACGAAAAAGGTATTTTTCCATGCAGTTCATTCTTCAAGATTAAGATCAAAAATGTATGCCTTTCTTTGAGTCCCTTGACTTGGTGGGAAGGCAGCTTTCTTTATTGAATAACTTTTTTTACTAGTGGACATATCTACAGGACAGAGTCTGTCTGTGCGGGTGCACAGAATGACACTGACAAATTATTTCAGTTGGTAATCACAAAGGAAATTTATATTCTTGGGCTTTTTATTATGACAATGTATGGATAGTAAAAATTAAAATCTTACGTGGTTTTTGGAATTTATTTCCATTTATTCAAACTTTTCTTACATTCAATTACTTTTTAATCCTGTTTGCCTTGCCAAGCAGGTCAAAAATCTTATGGTTCGTTATCCTTCACAGCTAGTACTGTCAGTGTCTTCTAAAACGCAAATGCCAATTCGTGCAAAAACAAATCTACTTATAACCATTTTTATTTATTTATTTGCTATATTCTAAATCTACAATATGGAATACATGACATTCTGCATAGTATAGTAATCCAGCTTCATACAGTATCCTTTAAAAGGTGGTCCAGGGAGGTACAGGTTTCCATCTAGTAGAATGAACCTGTCCAGAGCAGATTTATGGGTTTGTGTGCTTCTCAGTGGTATGTACCTGGTGCTGTCTGAAATCCTGAATGGGTACTGTGATACAGTAATAACTGGTCACAATGTGTGTCAACTAATGGAGCTGCTGTATACTGCACATTTGTGCACTGCAGCTCAGTTCTTAATGTACAATGTGGCTGCTGTAGTTTTGATTATTAATGTGGCATATTTCAATTTTGCATATAATGCGTTATCAGTACCAGCATTTCTTTCTCTGGGCATCTTTCAGATTGACCTTAGAGAACCCATTTTTAAAAACCTGTGCAACTTCTTTTGCACATTTACAATAAACTAAGGTATCAATCACCTTTTACACTGAGAGATGTATTATACACATCATTAATAGTCCAGCGGTGCCACATGTTGTAGACACGCAAGACACTGTAGTACATTCTGGCTGCGCTTAGGTCTTCTAAAGGGCAAACAGAGCATTCATGACAAAGGCATAACAGATCTTCTGCTGGTGTGAACACAAGATTTGGGACCTAGCTGCCAGGTCATCCATTTTTCAAGGCAAGAGTGGTCTGAGTAACTGTTCCTGAACACTTAGTAGTGCTGGGAGGTGAAGGTAGTGCCACACAAGAGTGGGGGTAATGCTGGACAGGCTGTAAGCACTTTGAGGCAGGAGCTGTCTTTCTGACCTGCGGATATGCCCCATCTGGGATAAGGACATCCTCTTCCATGAGTGAGACTACTGCTGTATCTGTAATAGCAACAAGCCTTCCTGATCCTTCCTAGGACCTGGGGAATCCCAGTGTTGTAGAAGTGTTTCTCTGGCTTCTGGGTTAGAAAAATGCCACCAGTTGCTGTCAAACTGGCATGTCTCACTTGTTTTTCAGGCCTAGGGGTATTTACATCCCTGATAGTTTCCTGGTAGCACAGTCAGCTAACATTCAAAGCTGGAATGAGTGGGGAGTAATTAGCCCCACTGAGTGCAGTACAAGGTTGTTAGCAACTCTACAGAGCAAAGACCTCTTTCCAAAAGGCTGATATTTAGATGACACCTGCTGATGGTGTCCCCACTCTTCAAGGATATTTTCCATGCACAGAACAAATGGTTCATGGATGTGCCACAGCACAGGGCTTAACATGCCATTCTGCTGAGAATAAGAGCTGCCTGTGGAGAAAGCATATCCCTTAGACTATGAACCCGTGTCATTAGAGAGTTTAGAGCCAAACCACAGAAGAGAAATTCCTTGAAAATGGCATCCCCAATTCAATTTTTTTTAGCTTGGCTCTGTCTCACACCTTAATCCCTGGCATTTGAGCAGGGGTGACTTTTGAATGCATGTTTACTCCATCTAAGAGAGGTATTCGGAACTTTACTGGACAGAGCCCTTAGCAGACTGCTGTCACCTTGGAGTTGGCCCTGCTGTGGGTCAGATAAGTGGCAGCCGTAAGTGCCTTCCAACCTATATCATCCTATGATTCCGTGTTGCTACATTCTGTCTGCAAGAGTTACAGCCATACACTTCAAAACCAACTTGAAAATATTTTCAAATAAGCATTACTTCTTACTCTTCCAGATACCCTCAGTTTTTTCAAGCAGCAGCAGCATTGGAGGGAGAGATGGGAACAAAATCATATGGCTGTCAGAAAGGTTTCTCGGCGCTCTGTCAGCAAGGAGCGATGGGTGGAGACGCTTGTGGTTGCAGACAGTAAGATGGTTGAATATCATGGAAGTGACCATGTGGAATCATATATCCTCACTATAATGAATATGGTATGTACAATATTTCCTTTTTTTAGATAGAAGAACGAAGCAAATTTTAACTTTATTATGTTACTGATCACCTTGAAACAAGTCTGTAAGATTGTTCACTGAAAGAAATGTAGTATCATTTGTATATATTCATTGAAACTCTGTATTTTAAAGCATTTTTTTACCTTATATTTTGCATAGGTGTAATTTTTCTCTGCATTTTAAGTGAGCGAAGTTTCATAGCTATAAATGCTAGCGCTAATTTTCTTTCCACTGAAATTTCCTGTCTCCTCTGGAACCTGTTGCTCGTTGGTGAGGTTAGTAGCTACAGCAACAGAGAAATTCTGCAGCTTTAAGCATATGGATTCTTTCCCATGTCTGTGAATGAGAAAGGAGCCCTTTGGAAATTGTAGTATCTTAGCAAGAGCTAAAATATCAGTGTGTTACTGTTTTGGTCATAAATCCAAACAGCACCTTAGAAGCTGTTATGGAGAAAGTTAACTCTATCCCAGTTAAAACGAGTACAACTGGTTTTCCAGATAAGTATCCTGCCTATAATACAAAGTCCTTGTTGAAAAAAAACTAATTTAACTTTCAGTGTTTTTCTGTGTGGCAAGTTTTAAAATGTAAGCTGACCTGGCAACAGCAATAGCATTTCATGAAACTGCCTACAGATGAGTCTTCTGTTATTATCTGTATCATAGTAGATATTGACCTTGGGGAGTCTATTGAGGATGTCTTCTACGTCGTTATCATGGTATGTGTGTGTAATATATGTGATATTAATCACAGTGTAATTCTAGCCATGGTAACTGATCTGTCCCTTATGTTTGTACAGTATGTTCCCAACTGCACCCCAAGCAGTCTGATTAGCTGTAAGCCTGATTAAACAGACACAAAGCTGATTTGAGCACATGAGTTTTTGTCCACACAGGGAAAATATGTGGAATAAAACCTTTGTCATAATCAGATTCAGGAACAAATAAGTCTTAACATTTTCTCTGTGGTCTGTAGCTGAGATACTAGGGTAACTCACAATGGTTCAGTTTTCAGTCTAACACCTTGAAAAAGACCCATATTGAAATCAAGCCTTTGTAAACACAATTTCCACTTCATTTCAGTAATTTCTCCTTTAACCGTCTTCTCCAAAACAGTTTTGACCCAAACACAATCCATTTTGTCCATTGACATTTAACTTGTGATATATGGCATAGCTCACATATATATATAGGTTATGACTATCTGTTCCTATTCCCTTTCCTCCTGTCTAATTCAGCATTGTCATGATGTTTATGACATTTTATTTGAGTAAAATTTTTGCTGAGTTCAGTTCTTGCTCTTTTTTTAATGTGGATTTATTTAAAGGTATTAATTATCTTTGGTTTTGTTCTTATGATCCTTCTCTGTGCTGTGAAAACACAAGAGTATCCATCATTTAGCTGTTTTCTCTTTATCTAGTACTGGCTAATTTTTGCTTTGTTGTGGCAGAAGCTGATTCCTATCAAATCAAAACAGGACTATTTGATATGCTGATTTTTTTGCACACTGAGTGGACTTCTCCATCACGTTTAGGTGACTCTAGCTGTTGTGCTCTTTTCTGCTAGTGTTTGTTAAGCACACTGAAGTGCTTTAAAGGGAAATGGACATAAAATTATCTTGTGAATGTGTTAGCTCTTTGGCTTAGTAACTTTTGACAAGAGCTGCCATTTGCAGCAGTTCTAACATTAGTTGCATTTCAGTAAACTTTCAGTGAAGTGCATTGAGGATTTAAAAAATAAAACAACACCCCGACCTCACACCCCAAGGTGAACAGTGTGCTTGAAGTAAATGTTGTATTTTCTCTCTCAAGTCCTGTTCTGCTATAGAGGAATCAGTTAATCTCATACCTCCTGGCTCTGGCACAGGTCACAGGGCTGTTCCACGATCCAAGCATTGGCAATGCAATTCACATTGTGCTGGTCCGGCTCATCCTCTTTGAGGAGGAGGAGGTAAGGTTTTTATCTTCCTCAAAATGTCACTTATAAACCTGGGAGTCCAATGCACTGAGTCATAATTATGGAGAGGAGGGTCTATTTGCTTAATATAGTGTGTTCATTCTACTCTTCTGTTAATCTTTGGCATGTCTGTTTTTACAATAAATGCTGTCCTGGATAGCAAAGTATTTAGCTGCTAACTTCAGGTATTTCTGCATAAAATTGCTACGGAAAATGTAATTAAAGCAGGCAAATTAGGAAAGCAGAAATGCAGTCTCCCCAGTTTCAAAAGAACATGGGATGCCAAGGAAGACTAGATGAGAAATAGAAATTAATGTGTGCATCATCATTCAGAATCTAATTACCTAGCATTACCTGTAATGTATTATAAAATATAATGCTAGAGTATTTGCAGATCTCTGAAGAGGTAAATCTGTTATTGTTCAGCTCAAACACTCATTTTTCTTTTTAGATCTCTTTTGAAAAAAAATTAAAAGGACTAATCAGATGCTGATTGCTGTAAACTAGCTGTATATTGGTAATTTCCAATGTCTGTCATTCACATGTTGCTACATGCTTAAATACATGCTGATTTTCATCATTTTATAGTTATTTTTAAAACACTGTGCAAGACATAGCTTACTCTGGCTGCAGAAACACATTAAGGAGATTTTCTTGGTGGGTTGTGATTTATGACCACAAGCCAGATAATCCCGGTGTTAATTAAGGCAGTGAACCAAGCCATGGGGCCAGGCTATGTCTTCTGAAATAACTATTAGGATAGAGTCTATCCTAACAGTCCTCAGTGTAAGAATATGCAGGGCAGAAACTGTCGTTTGCATCTTAACAGGACCATCAGGACCTGAAGTCCATGGTGACCTCCAGTTAAGTTTACTTACTAGATTTCTGTAGCTGTTTGGATAATAAACCATGGATTCCTGTTCAGTTGAACAAGGCAATGTTGGAAGCAACAGTGTTGGGTATCTTTCAAAATGTGATTTTAAGTTACCCAGCAATTACTATCTGGTAACAATGTTATTTACATGCTTTGCAAAAAGCATTACTTAAATAGGGTAAACTGAGACAAGAAATGACTAAAGTATGTTGGTTTTGAATGAATTTATTTTGCATACTTTATTTCAGAAGAAATTTGGTAACTTGCATGTATACTGTGTAATAATAAGATGAGGAAGAAACATCTATGACTGCATTGTTTCTCTTTGGAAAATACTGTGAATATTGTGAAAGAAAGACAACCTTAGAAACATAGTTGTTGCCTGAGCACGACAGTGTTCACCTAACATTGAGTGATGAACTTGAGCATGAAATCCCACACTGAATAGTCTTTATCTTCTCTATAGAGGAGAACTTGCTTTCAAGAGAATATAAAATGTTCTTCATTTCAGTGTTGGATCTTATGACGCTCACTTACCAAAAAACATGTAAATTTCTGCATTTAATTTTTCCTTTAGCTGCACACTTACAAAAATGTCAACATTTTAATATGTTAGATAAATGTATGTCATTTCTGCTAATGATGGCTGTAACTTTAGGCAAAAGCATAATCAATTACATTTCAAAGATTACCCAGCTTCACATCTAACATCAGTAACATGTTATTGTAATACAATATGGTCTTACAGTAATATTTTCCTTCATTTCCTGTTAGCAAGGCTTGAAGATAGTTCACCATGCTGATAAGACACTAGCCAGCTTCTGCAAATGGCAGAAGAGTGTCAATCCCAAGAGTGACGTCAACCCTACACACCACGATGTGGCTGTCCTTCTGACTAGGTATGACATCAGTTCAGTAGCTGTGACTGTTGTTTAGATGCTGGGTTTTGGTGATGGTATTTTTTTTTTAAGCTCATGCCATCATTTAGTTCATCCTGCGTAGAACTCAGTAAAATGGTCTGATAAAGACATGCTGTTCTTGAAACACAGTGTTAATGCAAAAATAACCTAGTGTGAGCGTGTCTGACACTCATACAGGCAGAGAATATGAGCTACATTATAAAAACCTGTGGTTAAAGTTAGACCTGCTGTACCTTTTAAAGGGATTGTTTTTCATTCGTTTTCAAAGTACACATACCACTTTATGTATGCATGTGGGTGTTTTATTAAACATGCGTCTTAGTCAGGAAATTGAGATCTGTATGTCCCAAGAGCTTAGCAATTTGCAGAGCTCGGGTCATTTTCCCCACTTGATCACCTCTCATTTCATGCTCAATCACTCCTCTATTCTTCTTTGAGGCAATATACCAAAACAAAGTAGCATGTAGATGAACAACTACATAGTGACAAACCCTAAAGTAATATACAGGTGCAGCTCAGAATGGAAGAGTATTTTGCGAACAGTGCTTTAGAGTGTATGATTTTTAAATATTATCTCTGTATTTAAGGAGACACAATTTTTTTTTTTACACATGAACAAAGGAGGCACATAAAACTTAAAGCTGATGTCTGAAGTTACACAGGAAGTTTGTGACAGGGCATGAAACAGAACTTCTACAGCGCCGTTAAAATGGATCCAATCTACACACAGCTGAGAGAAAAGGCTGGGTCTAAGGTCTGCAAAAAAAAAATCCTAAGTTAAAGTCTGTCAGGCAAAAAAAAACCAAACAACACAAAAAAACCCCTCAAGAGGTGCAGTAAAGAAGACAGTCAACAAATTTTAAAATAAGAATGAGAAAAAGAAGTCTCACAATGGCGCACGGTTTACCTCTCCAAATAAACAGGCTTCAAACAGTTCACTTGAATGAAGCTGAGGTGTGGTGAGTTTAATAAACCATACCTCAACACATTGTCAAAGGTGGAGGTTTTAGAAGTTTTTCTTATGTGAGTTGACAATAAACATACATATTTAAGCACTACAGCAACATAAATATTGGCTACAGATTATAGCAGTATAATATGATAGTAGCAAAATAAGTGCATGTTGTTGTATATATGTTTGTAAAAATGTTGACACTGCTTTACTTAAAATGAAAACTAGCACTGATACATTGTAAGATGTATATGTCACCCAATGTAAGTGATACTCTACAGTTGGCTTTAAGCTCTTTTAATGGCAGATGTCTTTTGTGATTCTAGAAAGGACATTTGTGCTGGCATGAATCGTCCATGTGAAACCTTAGGTTTGTCTCATCTGTCAGGCATGTGTCAACCTCACAGAAGCTGTAACATCAATGAAGATTCTGGCCTTCCGTTGGCTTTCACTATTGCTCATGAACTTGGACACAGGTATAGTTGAAAGTGAAGGGGGGACCTAGCTGAGTTTAATTTATTATTTGTATGTTAATACTCAAATTGCCAGACAGAAGCAAAACAGAGTGAGTTAATGTCTCTATTATTAAAATCAAAACTGAGGGGTTGTTTTCTAAGCAAAGGAATAAGGAAGAGATTCTTAAGTCTTTGATCTTTGTTTATATTTACAACTATTCGGACTACCCTTTTTAACCGTCTGTTAGGGCAGTACATCAGGATGAAATAATTAAGCTACAAAGAAACATCAGTTAATCATGCTAATTTTTCCAAACATATCCCAAGCTGAATTACTATGCAGTTACTTTAGTTGATCTCCAAATCAATCCGAACCATTTACATAAAACATACCTGTTTCATTATATCAAGGTATTTCAATATTGCAGACTAGCTAGAAACCATTTTTAATTCAAGCAGTCAAATTTCACGGACATATCGTATCTTTGTTCTCCTTTCTGACAAAGAAATAAAGTCACTTTTTGGCATTTCTTAAAAACTGGTAAGTTCTGTATATCAATATTGCTGTTGTGGACACACTTAGGTCAACTAAATTTCCTAGGCATTTAGTTTTGGACACAGATAGACTTTTTTTATGATTGAGTATTTTTGCTTGAAACTAGATAAATCAGTATTTCTGATTTCTAAGGCTGTTTTGGCTGGTTAGTTGGTTTATTAAACTCACCTGAAAGAATTCTAATTTTTGAATCGGTTTTGACACTGAGCTGTTTTCCCCAGGGTAGAGACCTGTCTCATGCATACTCTGGTTTGACTATGACACCTCCACTTTTCAGCTGGACCATGTTGCTTGGCTAGGTGACATGTTCACTGATGTATCTACAATGACATTACTTTCATTATGCATCCAGCCACCAGTCAGGATGAAGTCTGTGTTTCCTGATGGGATATAATAATAGTAATCTGATACAAAGATTACTCAAGTATTGATCCTATCACCCATTAATTGACCTTTCTTTATTCAACCCCTCAGTTGCTAGAAAAGAGATAGTAAAAGTAAATAATGTTGAAATCATTATAATTGGATCTGGTTGCTTTTGGTTTAGTTACTTGTTTCCCACAACCTCTTGCTGACAGGGACCTTTTTATCATTAACACTAGTTGTCAGAAGACATTTCTTCCCCATAGAGCTGTGTGTGGCCTTCTCCTGGCCTAGCCAGGGTGGCTGGTAACTCACTGTCCTTTCCATGCTGTGAGGCTGAGTACTGCTGTACTTGCCTTTGCAGGAGTGGTGGAGGGCCTTACATGTAAGAATTGTCTCCACAAAGAAAATTGAATATTCTAGGGTTTGTTGTTAACATGAAGCCATCCTTCCTTCATGCCAGGTTAGACTACATATATTAAAAAGTTCAAATATGGACAATAAAAGTCTGTAAGAACAGCTGAACAAAAAATAGGTGCACCCATTCCTTAGATGGATGCCGAAAGTCAACTCTCTCCCATACTGTCCCTCTAGACGTTCACCATCTCCTGTGTCAACAGACCCGGTTCCTGGAAAAGAACCTGTCAGTAAGGGGACACACTTGCTTTTATACCTCAGACCTGTTACTGAAGTTGATTCAGACTGAAATCACGCCCTGCTTTTTGGAGCATTTGAGTCATGGTACAATTACATTTTCCAGAAATAAAGTCTTACATGCTTTGAACTCACGTTGTCTGATCAGTGACTGAAGTACATCCTGAGTCAGTTTTCACTGCTTTTTCATGCAAGGGCTTACACACCTTCAGTTGTTAACAATGTAGGTGTCAACATCTTCATATATCAATATCTTTATATATTATTATTTCAGACAGTCTCCTTCACAATGAGACGACATGGAGGTCTGCATGTTTAATCAGCTGAATCCCATCCAAAGTTCTTAACATTTATGACTTTTACAAGTTGTTGAATAAAGAAATCACTTAATAAGTCAGAGAAGCTGGAGAGAACCATGGTGGGGAGACCTGCCGTGGAGGGGAGGTCTGTTTGTAAGGCACAGTTTGAGAAAGCTAAATAGGAAGAAGGAGTGGAGGTTGGAGGCTAATCCACTGAATCTTCAGTAATTTAGGAAACAGTATCTCTGTGTCAAAAGCTATTTAAAAAGAAACAAGCAATAGAGATGTGATTATAAGACAGTGTAAGACAGAGTATAACAAAGCCTGATCTCTGTTAAAGTGGTACAAGTCTGAAATAACTGGGATCCAAGAGCTAGGAAGCTCTTAGCTTTAGCAGCTTTGGCATAACTGAGGTTTAAACTGTGACTCCCGACCCAGCTGTGCAATGGTGTTTTCGCTCCTTTAAAAATAGACCTGAATATAGTGTCTCTGACAGTCTGTTCTTTATTTTGTACCGGACAATATTGCTGTGCATAACAGACATGTTTGAAAGCCTGTTGGGAGTGTAGATTTTTTGTAGGCTTTGGGTCAGATCTTCTACGGTTGGCCTTGATGATCTTTGAGGTCTCTTCCAACCATAATGTTTCTATGATTCTATATTTTTTTTTAGCAAAAGCTATCTACAGCCCACCAGGGGAAGAAGCAACCTTACTGTCTTTTTAAGCACAGTGTGGAACTCACAGATAGGTCTTGTGGTACAACCAGTCAACTGGAATTATTAGATGCTGTTTTTTATCTCCAGTTTTGGTATCCAGCATGATGGAAAAGAGAATGACTGTGAGCCTGTTGGAAAGCGCCCATATATTATGTCCCGACAGTTGCAGTATGATCCTACTCCACTCACCTGGTCGCAGTGCAGCAAGGAATACATCACACGTTTCCTAGAGTGAGTAATCAGGTTGTAGCATTTCCCTAAAATGAGTACAACTGTGTATGAGATGTTTATGTGGCGTTTAAAGTAAATCCTGCGTTATTACATTACTAGATGTAGGTTTTTATAGTGTGCTTGAGTTAATTCCCATGGAGGACATACCCCGAGCTTATTGCTCACGTAGTATTTGGGAAAAGCTCCATTATATTCTTGCTTTCTGGAAGTGAACTGAAGTCTTGTCGTATCAGCTCAGATTTGGTGCAACCTGCAGCTTTTTGCAGTTATCAAGAAGAAAAAAGCCTTTCCATCAAGGACTCTGATGGAACATCATAAACATTGCCTTTGGCCACAATGACATGTGCTTGACTTCAATGACTTGCTCAAATTTGTTGTGGTCTTTTTAATAGCAGCGATATGGTATAACTTTAAGTGGAGGCTGTGGTGTGCTCTAAAGCTACTCTGCAAGCGATAATGACCTTATAATATTTCCACTTTGACAAGCTGTATTTTGCCTTTGTAACCCTCCCTAACTAGATGGAGTGCTGTTTGTTAGCAGCACTTCAGCATATCTTAGCTGGAATCTGGATTTACTTTACAAAGGCCATATAAAAAGTTACTGTTAAGAACTGGATATTGAAAGTCTGTATGGAAGTTTCAAAAAGGTGTGGTTGTGGGTGTTTAATATGCACTTTTTGTCTTCTAGCCGCGGGTGGGGATTCTGTCTGGATGATATCCCCCAAAAAGAAGTTTTGAAGTCCCCAGTCATTGCTCCTGGGGTGATTTATGATGTGCATCACCAGTGCCAGCTCCAGTATGGTTCTAATGCTACTTTCTGTGAAGATGTGGACATAAGTGCTGTATGTTTTTCTCCATTCTCCTAATAAGAACTTAAGCTTCTTGAACGGTGTGGAAGGACTATCAGTGCACCTCAGTTGATAACTGCAAATTCAACATGTTTAAGTCTCAATAGGCCAGATGTGCTGTGCAGGCATTGCCTAACACTGTTTTGATTCCACTCTTCAGAGTCTGGAAGTGAGTTGTTGCACTCTTTGCCTTGTATTTTGCAAGACCTTTACTGGATCTGGCCCCATATCTATTGTTAAATGCCTGTTCTTCAGCACTGGAGTCATTTTGGTTTTAAACTTATAATTATGATCTTAGGTAAATTACCAATGCAGCTTAAATCCCATTTCAATAATCAACATGCTTCAAGCTTACAGCTTTCAACTGACCAAATCCTTCTGGGAACAAGTCTTCAGTTCCAGCAGGAGTTTTCTGAAGAAAACCTCCCATATGTCCTGATTTTTCACATGATGGTCTAACTAATTAAAAGACATTTCAGTCCATGTACCTTGAATAATCTTTGTTTTCCCATCAACCACGAGATTTTTATGTGGAAATATGTAATTTACAAAGTATCCTGGGGTTTGTCTTACAGCACAGCAAAACAGTGTTGTGTGGAGATGCAAGGAGCAGTATAGTCACAGCAGCACAACTCGCTACAAGAGCTAGGAGCCACTGCGGAATAACAGGTTATATTAGCTAAGGTGCAATGGTATGGTATTTTAACTGTACCTAACATGTTCAGAGCTATTTGACTCCGTGCAGCATTTTTCTACATAGAACAGTTCAGAAACAATGGTTTCAAGTGCTAGTCTACCTGAGCGATCACTAATTTTTCCTGTGTTTTGGGCAGCAATATGCAGCAAACATTGGAGACGGCATACAGCTTGCTGCCCCTGTTAAACAGGACTGTGGCAGAAGTGGCATTATGGCTATCAGCAGTGCTGGAGTGTTTTTTAGTGGAGGTGTTGTGCACAGCTGTGGATTGGGGACTGCTGATGTTGACTGCTTATTCCATTCAGATAATTACATGTATCCTCATCTGCCCTTCTGTTGGGGAGATTATTCCTGATTAATCTTCTCAGCCTTAATAGATAACATGATTACCAATGTTGAACTGCAACTACTGAATCTGAAGCAAGTACTGAAAGATTGCTTTCATTACCTGCTGTTCCAGTTTCCTCAGTTACTGTAATTTGTCTGTTGGTACAGACAGAATATTGAAGTGTAATTTTGCAGTATTGTTTCATTCTATCTCTCCTTGAATTTGAACCTAGGAGGCCTTTACATTCGACAACTCCTGATTAGCCAATTTTACAGCTAGACGTATGTCAGAAAATTAATTGCTGTCATCTCATTTTGCATTTTACTGGAAGGTCTTTGTGCAGATAGCTGCACTGGCAAGGAAGGGGATTGTGAATAGTATAGTCTGCCTGGCACATTGAATGATTGGTGTATTTTGTCTAAGAGGTCTGACTGTTCTTTGCCTTTCCACTATTTACTTAACACTCGCTCACTGACCAGGCCACATTTATTCTGTAACTTTTAACATCTGACTGAATTCAATCCACAGATTCTTTCTGAGAGAAGAATCTGTATTTTGCTGAAGATGCACCAGGGTTTAGTGATTACACTTAGCAAATACTGAGGTTTAGAATTCAGATAGTGGTTTCTGTGGACCATTTAGGTAGTAAGTTTAAGCATTTTGTGAAGTACATAAATATTGTCCCCCTAATAGGGAAAAGGAAAGCAAAATACAGATTAGAGGAAGGAATTTTCCAAGTGGTAGGTAGATCCATAGCTTCCTATAGTACAGGCTGTAGGAGGTCAGAATCCTTATCTTATTGCCCTCTCTTTATCTCCAGAACTTCCACTGACTTCAGTGAAACTGGTTTTTTTTGGACTCAGCTTTCTTTAAGGCACAGGCCCTGATTTCATAGATTGGGTGAAAAGCCTATACTGTATTGCTGAAGGTAAAAATCACTTGCCTTGCAGTGAGTCCATGGTAAAGTAATCAATTTCTGGCTGTTACCTCCAAAAGCAGATAGTAAACAGTGCTTTTTCTTGTACTGTTATTATTCCAGTATTCTTAGAGGTGGAAAAAAGCTCTGGTACATGGAGATCAATATGGAAAAATTCTTGCAAAGCTGAAGAATTTCCGCCGTGAACTCTTGATTTTGAAATCTATGAGTGCACGTCGTAAAAATGTAACTGTCAGTGGAAAGCTGTGTTTGATTTCTGTGCCTTTCTGTAATATCTGAAGTTTTTTTTGGAATGCACTTTATACACTAAAAAGCACAAAACTTATTCTATATGCAGAAGTTAAAATAAAGGATGGATTTCATAATGAAAGAAAATTCATCAACCAGAACACTTGGGTAGCTCTGCCTTAAGAACCTGACAATGACGGCTTCACAAAGAGTTGCTAAGTAATGCTACTCTTGAACTATAAATAGGAACTGCAAAACAACCTTTGACTTCCATACATTGCAGCTAAATGAGCTGAGATGCAATGCCCCAGACATTGTATTCCAACTGGAGGTTTGAAGTGCTTTCAGATGTTCTGTACTTTCAACTTTCTTTATGGTGTTCTAGATGAAAACCAAAGTGAACACACAATGCAGAAAGTAAATAAAAGGCAACTCTTTCAAAACAGGCTGTGCCCAAACCTAGCTATTTTAAATAGAAGCAGGTCAGAAACCAACAGCCAAGTTTTGCATTTCAAACTTGGCCAAATTTTGCTGCTGGCTCATTGGGGCTGGATTTTTGCAAGTGCCCAGTTTCTGTGTTGGCTCCCAAACCTGCCATGTTGGTTGCTCTGAGGATCCCAGTGGGAGCTGCTAGTGGGATCCTTCTTATCAGCTCCTTTCTCTGATGACACTTACAGCTGTCCCTGCTTCACAGGTAGATGCTGCCAGCTCAGTTCCCTCTCCCAGTGCTGAACTCTGCAGTTCAAACAGCCTCAGCCAAGACCTGGCCCAGAGCCCCTGGGCTTTTGCTTCTGCTCTTCCAGTTGGGAGTGCACAGCCTCTCTGATGCCCCTGGTTTTTCTTTGAAGTGGTCTTCCACACACAGCCCTGCTCATTCAGGAGTTCCCAAGCATGCAGGGCTCCTGTGTGTCAACCAAAAGAGAAGCTGATGTTCATGTGAACTGGGGAGGGGGGAATAGCCCTTGATGTCTGTCCTCACTCTCTAGTGAATAATTCTGAATGAGCGAAGAAGACTTGTTATAAGGTAGCTGTAATGTTTCTTGCCCTGCTAGCTTTGTTGACTCTCAGGAGTTTCTTTCCCTTTTGTGGAGTTGACCACTGCACGTGGAGCAGCAGCTGAAATGCTGTACTTTACTGGCAATGCACTGCATTAAACTGGTACCAGTTTCTGAGTAACTTAAGATGCAAGCATTCACTAACCAGAGCCCTTAACTCTACCCAGCCTAGTGGGCTTTTTTCTCTGCCAGCTAGCCTAGACTGCTTCTTTTAGATCATTCCCTTGCTGTCTGCTTGGCTTATGTTTTAAGAGACCTGTGTTTTAATCTCTTTTTCCTCATCCAGGTGGTACTTGGAGACAGGATGTTGTTTTTACTTACCTGGCTGGCTTCTCTAACCTTCTTTGATTTCACTGTGTATATTCAGGCAGACAGCAATACAAAATTGAACATTGTATTCGTTAGTACTCATCAAATGAAAATAATACAAAGTCTGTTCACCTTTGCTATAAACAGTAGTGCCCAGACTTTGTAAACTATTTTTTCTGTGTGTAGCTGGAAGCTGCGCAGCTAATGAGCAGAATATTTGAACTTACCTAGTTCAGGTAATTCACTTGATAGAGAGTATTCACCATTTTCTATTTGTCAAATAGTCCTTCCTTGTACACTAATAAAGAGTACCTAAATTTGGACCCTTGGTGGGTCTTGTGTAAAACTCTGAACATTGGCTTGTGCAAATACAGTCCTTACAAGGCTTTGTAAATGGATGTGCAAAACTGTGGGAGACTTTTGAAAATCTTGGCCATAGCAGTTCAGCACTGCTTCAGACTGCTAAAGTTTTCCTTCTTTTCCAGAACCTTTGCCAAACACTCTGGTGCTCAGTGAAAGGCTCCTGTCGCTCCAAACTGGATGCACCTGCGGATGGAACTCGGTGCGGAGAAAACAAGGTGACTGTGAGCCACACTGCCTGCAAACTGGACTGCCTACAAAAGGGCAGCGGAGGAACCATGAGTATCTCTGTCATTGTTTAGCATGAAGGAGGGGCATCCTATGACATCTCCATTTACATTTCCACTTAAGTTTTTGACCTTCAGGGACTGAAATAACAAATAATTCACAATAACATTTTTCTGTGATAATGATCTCAAGCTGTTTGTCCTTTCTGTTCTCTCTTCAGTGGTGCTTCTCTGGTGAGTGCATTACAGTAGGCAAGACTCCCGAAGCAGTCCATGGTGGGTGGGGCGTTTGGTCGTCCTGGTCCCATTGCACAAGGACGTGTGGGGCAGGAGTTCAGAGTGCAGAGAGGCCATGCGATAACCCAGAGTAAGCTGAGTGCATAACCTTTTCTTACCTTTTTTTCAAGATCTTTGAGGTACTTATGAGGTTGGAAACTCTTTTGTATGAGACTCTTATCAGCAGATGCAACAGCAAGACAGACACTGAACATGTCTCCTTCCCGGTTAACCATACCTGTATGAAATTCAGTTGGCTCACCTTTTACAATCATCATCCTGTTCTTTAACCCTTACCCTCCATGGAGCATATTTCTACACAAAATGAAAAAAAAATCCTGTTATTTAGCATTCAGGCTTTGCGGTAATAATAGAAATGTTGCTTTAATAATACTGCCATGAATAAATAAATGTCCTCAAACACCGAGTGAGAACAGTAACTAGCAATCTGTTTGTGAGGGAAATCAAGGACTCACCTTTTGTGTTTTGTTCTAGTCATCAGCTTTGATTGAGCTTCAGACGCATGAGTTGACAGATACAGAATACGAAAGGCACGATTTTCTAATAGATATCTGAGTTCATGAAGACCTTAGCTGTCATTTTCAGAAATCACTAAGAGTGTGCCTAACAGCAGAAATCACTTTTCTGGAAGAACTGTCAAACATTCTGGAAAATACAGTATTTTAGGGGAGTTCATTTGATAAGGTAATTTGTTGTGAGCTCAGCCAGGCAAGGTACCAAGCACTTCTTTGGGATACAGGGTTTGTCTAGATCTCTGCGCTCCATACTGACATGTTTGGGTACTTGAACATGTGAAGGATATCTCTATCCTCTCAAGGATTCCGGTTTACCTTGTTATCACATTGGAACCTGAAAGACATTGCTCTTTTAAAAGTATTTTTTACCCAGAATCTCATGTCCCAATCTCAATGTTCCTTTTCTAGACCACAATTTGGAGGAGACTACTGCACTGGAGAAAGGAAACGCTATCGCATGTGTAACATTAGCCCCTGTCGCAAAGACTTACCAACCTTTCGTCAGATGCAGTGCAGTGAATTTGATACAGTTCCCTACCAGAATGAATTCTACCACTGGATTCCTGTTTATAACACAGGTAAGAATCTACAAATTTTTTAATATCTTAAAAGTCAAATTTACAGACCTATGAGAAACCTCTATGAGAGCGAGAAGTCACTGAATTATAAGTCTTTTAATTAGTTAGAGAGAAAAATCTGGTGTGCCTCCATATGCGTGTGCCTCCATATGCAGGTGTGCCTTTTGTGTATACACAAGGGCAGCGGTTCTCTACACATAGATGTTTCTGCAAAGCTGGGAGTGTAACTAGCCCGGTTCCTGGAACAGTACTGCACTAAGAAAAGCTGTTGAAGTCACATTTATACTAATTGTTTGGGATAGACCTAAACCATCTTTTCCAGTGTCAACGACAGAATAAGAAGTACAGTTGTGTAGCGTAGAGCTGCATCTTTGGACCTGCAGAGCTCTTCTGCTGTAGAAACATGGCTTTACTTCCAAACTCAGATCTGCATGATCAGTGTACTTGACCCCACACTGAGGAAGTAATACCTCAGCAGGTTCAGTATTGTACTGCCCTGTATTGTAGAGTCAGAATCAATGCCTCTGCCTCAAAACTTGCTTTATAACAGCTAGTTACTAAATACAGGGGTAATAGTTATTACGATGCAGCTTGGTTCTCGGTGTATGCATAAATGTAAGGAGTAGATTACCCAGTAGAAGCTAGCAATATAGTTTTTTTTAATGAAAAAATACACCAGTTAGGGAAGTGAAGCTCAAGATTCAACTTTCAATTTTGTTTGCCAATAGTATTTTTCAGCACGTTCGTTGCATTTTCACAGTTATTGGCAGTTCTGAAGAGGTTTTCTAAATTTTAGCTACTGTTTCAGTTTCATCTAACGAGCACAGCATTGAAGATGAACCTGGAGCATACAGACTTCCAGGAAAATTTCTGATGAAAGAAAATACAGTTAATAGGAAAAGACTTGTTCAGTAGGACTCCCAGTAAAACAAATCATGGTAGATGCTAACAGGCTAAGGCTTGGTCCAAAGCCAAACTCATAAACTGTTTTCTGCAGTCACCTGTCACTGAATTTGGGATTCTAGTACTCTCTGTTGCTCATATGTATTACTGCAGGGTACAGCCTTGGTTCTGTTCATGTCCTCTCTAGGGCAGTGCTACAGAACTGCTAGTTCTGGATATGCATATGTTGCAGAAGGTCTGCTTTTAAGGGCATTAAGAATCATGAATCAAATGCTTCCTGCACACTGGTAAGCAGGCCTACAGTGTGTCCATGCCATATTTCAAATACAGCTGACAGGAGCTTTACAGACAAACCACTTATCTTTAAAATGTTGGGTTATTGAGCCTGATATATTTCGTCTAGAGCATCCAGGGTTTCGGTGACCTTTTACAAAATCCTTCAAATACCAAGCAAATATTTTGTCTGTGGCTTAAAAAGCTTTTATGTTTTTACCTGTTTTCTGAGCAGCCAGAATTTCAGTCTAGAATTACATGTCTCCCCCATGATCTGTGAGGCCCTTAATGTTTGCAACTTCATTCTTACGTTCCATTAACAGCATTTGAAATGTTTTCCTGCTGTTAAACTCTAACTTACAAAACCCCTTGCTTTCTTATACAGTTAGGGAGTTGGCCAAATCCTGTACTGATCCTTCATCTGACATCATCATTGTATGACTGAGGGTGGGTGGTTACCATGGGCACACTACTTCCAGTTTTGTCCTGCCAGCATTACCTAGTGCACTGAAATACATCTAAGAGTTTTCCTCCCATCTCAGTTTCAAATTTTTTTTCGCCTTCCATTGGTTGCTAAAGGTATCCTGGGCAAAATAACTTCAAATAGACTCATGAAACAGTGCACTGTCTGTGAGATGGAGCAGTTTGAGCCTTTCCTGTGAGTCTTTCTCCTATTTTTTTTCGCCTTCCATTGGTTGCTAAAGGTATCCTGGGCAAAATAACTTCAAATAGACTCATGAAATCAGTGCACTGTCTGTGAGATGGAGTAGTTTGAGCCTTTCCTGTGAGTGTTTCTCCTAAACAAACTAAGACTTTACACAAAAGCAAACCAATGGCCTCTTGTAAACCCCCCACAAAAAAGAGCTAATGTTTCAGGGCTGTGGAGACTTAATCACCATGTCCACCATATCTACACCAACCTTTGTCAGTGTACACCAGCTTCCCTTACTTTCCCCCTCAACTGATGCAATCCAATTTCAAAGACTTTTCACAGCACTCTGTTATTACTTTAGCTTGCTGCCAAGAACGCTTTGGCGTTTGTTTTATTATCAGGCACTTTAAATCCTCTCATGCTGCACATGGGACATAAGGGGACAAGAAAATAACATGGAGCTTTCCCAAGCCCGAGTGCACATAACAGTTCTTGTGTGGAAGCATCTAGTTGAGGAGACGAAACCTTGAGCAAGATATTTTGTGACAGTTTAGACATTCTATGTTCCTTCATCCTGCTGGAAAAATAGTAAATGATCTAGATGGTCACAATTCTCTCTCCTGGCTTTAATTTCATAGCTTACATAAGCCAGTTCTAATGAATGTCACATAATTAAACACTGACATAATGTCCTTTTGTGTTGTGTAAATTGTACCTTCACAAGAGGACAATGACTCTTTTTTGAATACCTTTTGATTTAATATAAGGTAAGATGCAACAAGCAGCTTTAACGACCAACTTGGCAGAAAAGTGGTGAATGACATCTCGCTGTTACCTAGGCTAATTATATTTAAGGTTCCAGCTCAGATTTTTCCCTTCTGTTTTAAATACGTCTGGGCCTTTTGAGGAATTTGCGTAGTACTATTGGGGATTTGCCCTGGAGCACAGAAACCCAGGTGCTCAAGCTGGAGCACCTGAGTATCCCTGGGAGTCTCAACATGAAGGGGACTTCGAGGTTGAAGGGTTGCTAAAGCGTCCAGCAGCTCTAACCAGGATATTTTCTGAATTGTTCTCATGACCCAGACCCCTACTTTGACACTTTAGTCAGACTTAGGTGCTAATCTGCTTCTCTTGCCATCAGGCTGACCCCACATTTATTTGTTTCATACCTTTGGCAAATTGCATTTATCTGAATCTGATAGCTTCTCAGAGCTTGACTTCCCTGTAGTGAGTCCTACATTGAATCATATAAATACCTTTCTTTTCTCAATCAGTGCCAGGATCATCTTGTATACTGACAGGTAGGGGTTATGTTTTAAATTTCGTATTTCTTCCAAAATACGTCTGAATATCAAGTAAGATTTGTACTGATATGGTCGCAGGGGCTGAGCTAACAGCATAAGTTAATGTTTCTGCTGCCACTGCTTTGAAATTAAACTTTCTTTCGGTGTTCCAAGCTTGGTGAAAGTGATAAAGTAGCTTCACCTCAGATTTTTTTTGGTGTTTTGTCTGTGTTTGGTAATTGTCTTTTCTAATTTTCTTTGTTTTGGATTTCGTCATCCAATTCTGAGTTCTCAAAGAGGTGAGGGTTTGAAGAGGCCCACTTTTCTTCCCTGTGAAGTAGAAAAAAATATTGAAGCCTTATCTTCTGCTGCCAAACACATGACATCCTTCTCAGTTAGGTTAAGCTGGATCATTCCTGCATGTCAACTCATGGGAGTCAGCTGGAGGGCAACAAATTTAAATTAAGAAGGGAAAATGTTCCTTTCTAGTTATCTCCATATTGTTCTGTTTACACTTGTGAATCTGAACTCCATTATTATATACCCAGGGGAAAAAAAATCACATGCCTGTATTTTAGGACTTTTACTCAGCTTTACTGGCTTGCTTCCTCAGTCCCATCTTGATTACAAATAAGTCACTGCGCACTTATGGGAGCTTTGTGGCTTGGGATTCCACTACATCTGGGTTTCTTCTGTGTATTAGAGGATTGATCTTGTCCCTGTTCAAATCAGCAGCATAATCTTGGTGCATGATATGGGCACTACATATAAAAAACAGGATGTAATTTTTCCAGGCTGCTCAGTGTTGGTGGCAACTCAGCTAAAATCTTATATCCACCTAGGAGCAATGCATTGCCGGAAGGATGCAACCAAACTGGAGGAGGTTTACAGGAGAGCAACATGGAAGTCAAATGTTTGGGAAAGGTGTTGGGCAAAGTTTATGGGAAAGGTTGAGAAAAGGAAGTTTTGCTCTAGAAAAGAGAAGATGGAGTGAGTTAAATGCCAACTGCTTGAAGAGAGTTTCTATATACTTACTATGCATATCACTGAGCTAGTAGATATACAGGCTAGCAAGACTGCATGACTCCATGCAGTGTTGTGCTCAGGTCTGGAGGAAGCTATTGAGATCCAAGCAGTTCTGTGCCCTTGTTAACTGGCTTTGAAAAGCAGAACCTTGTGGTCTTATCAGGTCAGTTTGGATGTAGCTCTTCTGCTTGGATTTGGCATCAAGTTTTCTGTCACTGTACTTCATACTGCAGCTTCCCATCCCCTCCACTCAAGCAGTACAGGAATCCCCAGAGAGAGCTGGATCCAGCAGTTCATGTCCATAAAAGGTAGGACAAGCAGAAACAACCAAAACAGCACAAGGGAACTTAGGTTACACATTAAGAAATCTTTATTGCTATATAGATGGTGAAACATTAGAGCAGGTTACTTAGAGGGTTTGAGAATGAATATTATAATTGTAGCTATAAATACAATCTGAGTAGGAGCAGTCTATGTGGCTTTGATCCTACTTTGGTGTGGAAGGATGGGTAAAACCCTGTAGGCTTTACCTAGGCAGAAATCAGCTCTGTTTAAATGGGAATTCAGTCTGCTTTTTCTGAACAAGGATTGTGTGAGCATGATCATTACTGAGTGGTCACTGATTGGATCTAGTATTTCATGCATATGCTGGATTGCAAGCATTTCTGTATAATTTGTTACTAAGTTACTAAGATAATAGTTAAAGTCTCATCATGAATTAATAAATTTGCTGAAGTAACTGAAACTAAACCAACTGCCTTAATGAGTTCCTTCTGAGCAATTCTAGTGCTCATATTGATCTCAGTTTAGTCTATTTAGATTTTCAGAACTGAAATAGGATTTAGCAAATCTGAATTCAGTGC